AGTTTTATTGGATATTTTCTCAAATTATGAAAGACAAATAGAAAAATCCTTGAAAAAGGTAAGTATATTTTCTCTTAGTTAAATTATTTACTGAAATTGTGATTTTTATCTTGTATATTGAAAATAATTATTAAAAAAAAAAGAATTGGGGTGCGACCATTAATGTTAGTATCGAGTGCACACCCGATCCCGGGCTTTCTCGCTTTAAATATTAAAAAAATAACACAATTGTTATTCATTAGAATTTTATATTCCTTTATTATTACTTAACATTTATTCTAAATGCTAATTCTGCGAGGCTTAAAATTACAGTTCATTCAAAACCGTTTATAATATGAGTATTCATTTCAATAAATCATTTTACATTTTTGTATACATTGTCATGCACTTGGTTTTACTCTCCTTACAATTAAGCTATTATATCAAGAATAATATATTATCATTTTTTAAAAAAATAAACTCGTGTTCAGAGTGGGTACTTCAGCCAGTATAAGAACAAGTTTAATAATTATCAGTGACTTCCATGGGCTTGTCTTGAAGAGCAAAATTTTTCAAAGGAAGGCTAAAAATTAGAAATTGGCACTCAGAGTTATTTTTTGATATTTAGCTCAGATCTATATTTTTTCTTCAAAGTAGCCATTGCAGAAAGTCCGGATTCACAAAGGTATGCTGTTAAAAATGGTAATAGTATACGAAATGCTTTTGTTTTCAGTGCAGAAAATTCAGCATCCACCTCTATCCAGAATTCAAAGAGTGATTTATTACAAAATTGCCCTTAAATTTCGTCACTGGATGTGAAATCTATGAAGATCTCTTTTTCGGCAGTTGAGAGCCCTTCTGAAGTATTTTGAAATGGTTCCCTAACCCATTTGTAACTTGCTATCAATTTGCCCTCGTCTGTGTACTTGTCGAATGCTCGCTGTGATTTAAAAATATATCTATGATTTTGTTTTAATCAACTGCCGTAAATACTTAATACCGTGAATTATAATTAACGCGTGAATTATGAAATGTACATTCAAGAGAGATTCGGTAGCTAATCGATTCGGCCAAGACTGACTAGAATTGTACGAAGTACAGCATTTTTACATGTTTTGTGCAGACGTCTGTTAGGTTGCCTAGACTCACATGTACGTTCGCGAGGATGCCAGATGTAATGGATATGATAAAGAGCAACATAGATTAGGCTATTTTTTAATGACATTTGTACTTTTAGAAATGGATCTTGAAGGAAATAAATATTTAATTAAATATTATTTCTCAATCTGTTTCAAT